TTATTGATTCTTGTTTTTATTTATTGTGCTATAGGAATCTTATTAAGGAAGTCAGGACCTAATTCAACATGATGAAGATTTGGGCCTACTTTTTTTTCTATTAGGCACAGGATCTCTTGTCTAATTCCTAGGTCCTTGATCCACTTTGAGTTGAATTTTGTGCATGGTGAGAGATAGTGGTCTAGTTTCATTTTGCTGCATATGGATTTCCAGTTTTTCCTGCACCATTTGATGAAGAGGCAATCTTTTCACCAATGTACATTTTTGGCACCTTTGTCTAGTATGAGATAACTATATTTATGTGGGCTTGTCTGCGTTTTCTATTCTGTATCAATGGTCTACTTGTATATTTTGGTGCCAATGCCATGCTGTTTTGTTACTATAGTTTTGTAGTATAGTTTAAGATCTGGTATTGTGATGCCTCCTGCTTTACTCTTCTTGCTTAGGATTGCTTTGGCTACTCTGGGTCTCTTATTTTTTCAAATGAATTTCACAATTGCTTTTTCTATTTCTATGAGAAATGTTGTTGGGATTTTAATTGGAATTGCAATAAGTCTGTATAAGGATTTTAGTAATAGGGCCATTTTGACGATATTAATTCTTTCTATCCAAGAATAAGGGAGATCTTTCCATCTTCTAAAGTCCTCTTCAATTTCTTTCTTTAGTGTTCTATAGTTTTCATTGTAGAGGTCTTGCACCTCTTTTGTTAGATTGATTCCCAAGCCTTATTTTTTATTTTATTTAGAGACAGGGTTCTTATTGAGTTGCTTAGTGCCTCGCTTTTGCTGAAGCTGGCTTTGAACCCTCAACCCTTTTGCCTCAGGCTCTGAAGCTGCTGAGATTATAGGCATGCTCCACCACTCCCAGTGCAAAACTCGAATTAAAAAAAAAAAAAAAGAATGGGTCTTAAACTTCAGAGACTTAGTGTCCTTATCTGTAGAATGGGGTTAATAATTCATCCCCAGTAGTATTGCATGAGGAATTGATAAGAGCATGAATATGAAACCATGTTTTTAAAGCTATAGCCCATTTAGGAGCACAGAGGCAGACTGGGCATCTAGCATCCACATTGACTGTATGACTTTGAGAGGATTTTTAAAATCTTTATCTTCCTCAGCTTCCCTATCCGGGGCTATAAATGAGGATATAAAAGTGTCCATCCATCTTACATGATTTTTTTGAGAGAATTAAGTGAACGACTGACTATATGTCAAGTTCTTAATGAGTAAATTAGTAGAGACATTGGTATTCAAAGTGAGTCCCTTTGCACACTGAGCTGGGACCTCAGTCCCTATGAGGGTTTTAACCCCCACACACCCAGATCCTCCAACAGAGAAGACAGAGTTGTGTGGAGGTGAAGAGCCCAGGCATCAGAGGCCAAAACACCTGGGTTTGCATCCTGGCTACTTTCCCTTGCTGAGCCTCAGTTTTCCCTGTGAAAATGGGTGCAATGAGAATATTAGTAAAAAGTCACTGCATTGATGGAGATTAAAACAACACCTGGCTCAGAGCAAGGATAATGTAATAAGTGGGAGTATTGATTTATAACAAGGCTGATTCCTGTAACTTTCAGAGACAGAGGCATCTCATCCCTTGTACTTATCCTGTGATTCTTACTTCCCTCATAGTAAATCCCCTCCAGAAGTGGGGCTGGGCACTGACCTGCACCATCACAGAAGGTGCACCACTCTTCAGTTTGTGTTCCCTTTCTACTTACCAAGTGTATTAGCCAGGGTTTCCCAGACATGGAATATAGGATATATGAAGGGAAGTTCATCAGGGAAATTGGCTTCCAGGCTGAGAAGATGATGGGCCATCTGCAAGTTGGAGAATCAGAGAAGCCAGTAGTGGGCTCAATCCAAGTCTGCAAGCCTCAGACCTAAGGAAGCAGATGGCATGGCCCCCAGTCTGAGGACAAAGTTCCAAGGGGAGATGGAGAGAGACTTTGCTTTCACCTTTTCATTTTTCATCTGGGCCCCCAGTGGAGTGGATGGTACTGTCCCACATTGATTCCTTGAGGGGCCTTCCCCAAAGTTAACCATCACATCAAGTCCAGGCTCAATTAGAACACACACCTGGTATATAGATCAGAAGGAAACACAGCCCTGCCAATCACCAAGTTCCTGGAGACCACCTAGCTCTCCAAGCCCAGGTAAGTGAGGAAAAGAGATAATGATGCCCTCAAGGCTTTCAAGCAAGATTTTCAAACTGAATCTATTGTGTAGAGAAAATTGCCTGAAAGTGAGAAAGGCTAATTTGACTGGCTGGGAGACCCGGAATATCACCTCTGGCAGTGGCTCTTGTTTAACAATTAAAAAGAGAGAGAGAAAGATTCAAAGCTCAGGTAATACCTATCAACATTTAGATTTACTTAATTGTAAACTGTATATTTCACAGTCATGGGACTGCCTAAGGAATCTGCATAAATGGATTCTGTGGTATTCCCCCCAATGCCGCCCCCCAGGGACTAGTCTGGTTCTTTCTTACTTGATCCCTTGAGGCCAGGGACTTTAAAACCACATCTTCAGTTCTGTCCTATTTCATAAGCATGTAACCTGTGTGGTCACAGAGTCCCAGGACTCGGAATGGACCTGTACTTCATTGAACATTCTGCTGTCCTGGTTTATGGAATTCTTTTTTTTTTTTTTAACTGTTTGTTGCTTGGTTTTAACAAGGAGTCCCACATTCTCATTTTGCATTTGGACTCTGGAAATTATGTAGCTAGTTTTGTTCCCACTACCTAGCCCAGTGTCTATTGTCTAGTAAATGCTTATTGATTATTAGGGACAAGTTTGTTCCCACTGATGTATAATACACTCCCTAACTCTTCATTAGCAGTATATTCAAAGCATTTGATATCTTCCTATGTTAGAAAACCAGCTCAAAGGCAATTGTAAGCCCCAAAATTATACCTGAAACTTAGAAACCTAATTTGATGTATTAAATACCAGTGACTAGCAAATATGGTCCCTCCCCAAATAGAAGCAATTTACAAATCTTCCTTTTGCTTGATAGTGACAGCTCCTAATAATGAAAAAAAGCTCACAGGAAAAACAGATCAAAAGTGCTGGATATAGACTGCTGCCCAAGCAATGTGCTAAAGTTACTGAGGTGATGCTATTCATATCTTAAGAAATGAATATTCAGATCCCATTCAAATGGAGTTTTCAGGGGGAAAGTGCCCTTTATAGATCAATTGATTTTTCTGAAGTTGCATTACCAGTTAGTTACAGGATATTTACTCTGGTTTGTAGTTTGGGAACCAGGGGATGTATCTGAGAGCTAAAAAGCAGGGCAGCCTGCAGAATTGTAATCAGGAGGTTGATGATAAAATCATTAAAAGAAATAAAGTGGAATCCACTAAAATTACAACCACAAAACACCCCAAGAAATAAGTGGGATCCCTAAAGAAAGAACCTAATGGAATTGAATACTGAGATGATGTAATGCATTGAAGTTCACCTTCAATTCAAAAGGATTCAGTTAGCAAAGCAAAACCACTGTGTATGTTAAATAAAACATTCCTATTTGAAAACAAGGTGGTGATGGTGTTGGTGAGTGACTAATGTTTTACATACAATACAGGATAAAGGGAAAAAGATGTAACATTCCTTCTAAGCGCCTTTTTTTTTTTTTTTATCTGTCTATGAACTTTCATCATTGACACTTTCCAGCAGCCTCTGTCAGATCCAGGCAGCAGCTGAGAGCTTTCAGAGGAAAGAAAGGCTAAGGCTTACCAGCAACAGCATCCATAGTGACTACAGCAGAAATAGAACCAGGAATAGAGAAGGCCAGGTAGGAAAGGAGACTCTAGAAAAGAGACAGCAGCTATCAAGACCTGCATAAAAGACTGCAGGCAGGGTAAATGCACCATTGAGCTATACCAGAAATAGTCATGAACACCTGAAGGTGACTTTTCTGGGGATACATTTAAGTTGGAAGTTGTTCCCTCCAGGCAAAAGCCAAATCCCAGATATAATTCCTCTTTTAGCTAAAGCAGGAGCACAAGTTAAAAAAAAAAAGTAAAGAGAATATTCACAGCAAAATACTATATGTCACAGAGCTTGAGTGTTGGCAGATGGAAACAGGGTTCTCTGTAATTCGTGTTAAAAATCTTTGAATAAGGAAATTCCATGAGACCATAAAGAATACAAATGGGGAAAGGAAAGAAGGTCAGACAATGAGAAGGATGAAAGAACAGGAAGCAAGCCAGACCAGAGCTGAGACGGCTTTTGAAGCCATAGCTTGCCTTGGGTTCTCACTATGGACTGGGAAAGACAGAGTAAGAGTTAACATCAAAACCATAGTATTGTATTTGTAGTTTGTTTATGATACTTTAGGTTGACAGTTGAACAAACTACATGTTGTTCTCATCTAGCATAGAGAACAACATAAAATTCAATATTAGACATTTGTATCCTAAAGTTCTGAAGCCCCTCCCACCATAGGGTCCTTAATACTGGCCATCCTTTCCCCAAGACCCACCCATTCCATGTAAATTGCTTCTCCTGCCACTGAAACCCCTTTGGTCTTCTAGTATTCATCTAAACCCCTTCCCCTCCTCCCAGGGAGTTTCCAAAGCCTACTCCCAAATTCCTGTGCTTTTTAAAGCTGTGAAACTCTGCTTAAATGTTTTCTACCTGGGCTATGTCTAGAAGGAAGGCCATGACTTTCAAAGTGAAACAAAGCCTTCAAGGTGTTTTTCTAAATCAATAGTGAAATTTCCTCCCACCCTTGTCCTGGCCCAACAGTTCAAACTCCAGGTGATTCTTTAAAATGGTTGTTTTCTACTTTACAAACTGCTGTCAGTAAATATTCTTCTAAAATAATATTTGTAAATGTAGGCATATAATGCAATCCCATGGATGTGATGCTTTAACAACACAATGCCCTGTTGTTGGATGTTTCAAGTTATTTAATACTATTGCCAATATAGTTTAATACTATTGGCAATATTTTGCTCTCATAAACAGGGCTTAAAAATATATTTGTATTCATAGATCCTTTTTGGTTCATAAGCATGATGATTGGGTGTTCACGCTGCCATGTGAGATGTGCCTCCCTCTGAACCTTGCTACAATGTCAGCACCTTACCTTTCTGACATGAAAAACAAGCAAACTTCTATTTATATGATTTCATGCGTGAAAGATTATTTTCATATTGTAAATATTTTGAAGTTATTATATAAAAATTATAAATGTAAAGCAAAATTTTGAAGTTTTTTGCATATATCTTTAATGACTTGCAGAAAGCTTTACAAATGTATGAAATATGAATGTTTCTGTATATTTAGCCACTCTGGAGACTGGAGTTTTTAATAATTTAGTGACTAAATAAAAATAAGTATGTAGTTATACAATTATTAATTATCATAAAATATATAAATTATAAATTATTAAGTTAATGGTCTTAATTGGCATAGGTATAGAAGAAAAATTAAAATTTGACAAAAAATTATTTCATCAGGAATTTATATAAAAAGTAATTCCAAGTTTATTTCTTGCTATTGATAACTGTGGTGACCATCAGCCTCAAGGTAAAATGAGGTTTGATGTATTTTATAGAGTCAGATGGAATGGTCCAAAAGTTTTAAAAAGTGAAGGTATTGAAAGGGTTTTCTTATCAAAAGAGCTTCAGTTGAGTGAATGGTCTCATTCATCTGCATCAAGGCAAGAAGATTATGTTGAAGGACCGTGGCTCAATATCATCGATATATATTGACACATGTCATCTTTAAAGGCCACACTCCCCCACTGCCCCTGTACCAACCTTTTGATCCAGTCAGGCTTGAAAGATAATAATTATAATTTCTTTTTAACTCACAATAAATAGATGAATACTTTCTTCTAAATGTATTAAAATGTTACAGACAGGAGACTTTCACTTCTAGCTATGATAAAATAGCCTGTATCAGATTAACTTTGTCTTGAAAATATATAATTATGAGATAAAGTTTAGGACCAGAAAGTGCAGTTTTTTGAAGGAATCGGAGAGCAACCAAAGCATCTAGGACTTCAAAGACCCAACTAGAAATAAAGGGAAATGCATTGGCACGACTTCTTCACTCACTGAAGCATCTTTTCCTCTCAGAATATTTGCTGAAGAGCAAATTCTATAGCATAATGATTGCTTCAGTCTCACTGGGATGGAGAGAGAAAAAGTTAGAATCCAGAGCAAACAAGGGCATGTGCCAAGACCCCAGAAAAAGGCCCAGAGAAGCAAATCTGACATTTTTCACTCACTGTCCCATTGAAACACTTGCTGGTTACCAAACTGATTATTCGTACATCTTCAGGGCAGGAGCTGGCAAGCTCAGCAGAAGGCAGCTTCTATGAGGCTAAAAAGCTAAGCAGAAATTTTGACAGTCTCACAGCGCATGGGGAGATGAAAGCTTGTTCAGAGGCTGCCAGGGAGGAGTGGTCCCAGAAAATACCATACACTTTCAATCCAGATCCTTAAGGGACTATGCCAAAGAGTAAAACAGACTAAATTAGCTAGACTTCAAAAAGCCCAAAGAAGGACCTTGACTGGATTGGTGTGATTTTCTGGACTATCTCTGCCTAAAATAAATTCTCTCTGTGGGAATTCTCTCTGTAAATAAATCCCTCTGTGGGAAGTTAATGCCATTCATACCTTCTGCAATTTTTTTGTATGTAGTTTTCAGAATGCAATGAAATAGGCCTACCAGTAAAAAAAAAAAAAAAAAATCATTAGCCATGCCAGAAAAAAAGGAACAATTAAAATACAATGCTAAAAGACAAAATATACATTAGATACAACTCATTGCCTGGAAGCTTTTGAAGTTATTAGACATAGACTTTAAATAAGCAAGATTAATACATTCAAAATGTATATGACATGATGCAGAATTTCACCAGTCTATAAAGTTAAAAGACCAAGAAAGATAATAATCAAATTTAAAATTCAATGAATGGGTATTAACATAGCCAAAGAGAATACTGGTGAACTAGAAGAAACTTCAGTAGAAAACATATCAATTAATACAGAAAAAAGAAAAAGAGATATATGGAACACAATAAAAGGGTATAGCATAAGTGTGATTAAAATTTTGGAGAGAAATGAGAGGATGAGGTAGAAGGAATATTTTAGGAGATATTTACCAAAATTTTTCTAAGATTTAAAGAAATATCCAATCACATATTTAAGAAGTCCTATGGTTCCCATGCAAAGAATATACAAAGAAAACGACTGGAAGGCACATTGTAATAAAATACGAGAGAGGAAGGGAGAAACGGGGACAGAGAGACATACACATACACTCACACACACAGATACAGACAGACCCTTTAAAGCAGCCAGAGGAAATAAAGGGAAAAGATGCTATTAACTTCAAAGGCACAACATAAAATAGGATATAACAATGGTTTTTAAAGTATTAAAAGAAACAGCTAATAATCTCAAGTTCTGTACCTAACAAAAATGTTCTTCAAAAGTTGAGATGATACAAGGACATTTAAGACAAAAAAACCAAGAGGATTAACCACCAGTCCAGCTACATCAAAAGATTTACCAAAAGGGGTTCTCCTGGAAGAAAGAAATGATTCCACATGGAAGAATAGTACTATAAGTAGGACTAAAGAGTATTCTAACAGGTAAAAACCTAGCTGAATCTCAGTGGATAGTATCTGTGTAAAATAACAATAGTAGCTTGGCAAAGAAAAGAGCACAACAGGCAGAAAGGGAATAAACAGGGCTAGGGTGTTGGAAGATCCTTACATTGTCCAGGAAGTAGTCAGTGTTCTAGTTTATATCACCCTGAAATGATTCAAGAAAACTTGTTATAATCTCTAGGGTAATAATTAAAACAAAAAGTTAAAAGAGTAAGGAATTATGAAATAACAGAGGACAAAATGGAAGGATAAAAACGATTGATTTAAAAGGAACAATATATAGGAAAATAGGAAAGGGGTATAATCATCAATTTTAACAAAGTTATATGTTCAACTGAATGGCTATACATTCCAGTAAATTGGCAATAATTATGGATAAATGTACAATTAAATTTTGTTTACAAGACACTTTTATGATAAGGACAGAGAAAGTTTGAAAGGAAATAAAGATGAAAAGAAACCATTTAAATATAAAACAAATAATTCAGTAGCTTTAATTATATCAGATAAAGTAGACTTTAAAGAAAGGAGTATTAGAAGAAATAAATTTGTGTCTAATGACATACATGTGATATGTATATATTACATGTAATGATGTATAATATACATGGAAATCTGATACATCTAAATGTAGAAATGGAAAATCCTCAACTCTTGTAATAAAATAACTAGTAATTTAAAGTATCAGTAAAGATATATGGTAGATTCAAAAAACAAGTTCGTATATTTTCCCAATCAACTAATTAATTGCAGAATAAACACACCTGTCAATAAATTTATAATACCCTTAAAACTGGCTATATCCTGGGCCCTAGTGGAACTATCAATAAATGACAAAAAATTAAATTAAATACAAAATAGAAGATAAAAAAGAGTGTATCGTCATGATCTTGGCAGCAGAAAATTGGAACACTACACTACTCTAACATCTGGTTCAGATATGCATGATGTATCTCAGCAGTTCTACACAGTTTTCTCTGCTTATTCCAACCTACTCTGATGTGATGTTTTGTTTTGTTTGTTTGTTTTGGTACCAGGGATTGAACTCAGGGGCACTCACTACTTAGCTGTATCTCCAGGCCCTTTTTATTTTTCATTTTGAAACAGGGCCCCACTAAGTTGCTGAGGCTGACTTTGAACTTGTGATGTTCCTACCTCAGCCTCCTAACTGCTGGGATTACAGTTGTGTACCACCACGTGCAGGTCCTTTCTTATTGTGTATTTACTTCTCTTATAATTACCACCATGTAGTTCAGCACTCACATTATAAATGGCTGTTATTCTTGCAAGCAGCAAGTTCATTAGTTTCTGCTCCTATTTTCAGTAGCACCCGAGTTAATGTTGGACACATAACAGGCACTCCATCACAGAGAACTCAGGTGGTCCCAAGTCTCTTTGCCTTTCTATGACTTTGCACTCCAGTCCTGCCATTCATTTAAAATTAAGACTGGCCCAGGTGTTACCTAAAACCAAAGCACAATACTAAGCTTGAAGGCTGCAAAGTTGTTTAGATCTCATCTTATGCTAGAGAGAGAGAGAGAGAGAGATCATAATTTTTTAGGGGAGACATGAGAACAGGTAATGATTTTATTTTTCAAGAAAGCATGGGATGCGTGTTATGGAAATGGCTATAATTTAAGTTCTAAGAGAAGAAAAATTGAAAAAATAATGTAACTTCTACCTAGGCTAATTAAGAAGAGCATTTTGAATAAGTGACATAAGGCCAGTAGACCGGCCCTAAAGACTGTAACAGGGAATCCCAAGTGGAGCAAAACCTAATGAACATTTTTTTAATTGATGTATTATGTTTCCAAGACAGTTGTCAAACACATTTCTTCTGAAATAATTAGAGAATTTCTTTAACCAGAGAAGACAGCTTGCTGGGACTACACAGTAGGTGACACCAGAAGAACAGAATGGTGAAGGAATTGCAAGTGAATTTTATGGCGTTTAAAGCCACCAGAGGATTATGCTAGCAGAACCTCTTACCTTTTTTGTGTAGGACATGCCTCTTTTCTGTTGGCCCCTTCCAGCCCCAGGGAAGAAGCTATTGCAACATACCTGCTTTTGTTCTTCTTAAGTCTCCTACTGCCTTTGTGAAATTGAATAAAGAAGTTACATTATTTTTTTAATTGAAAGAAGAAGTCAGGATTTAAGACTCTTGTCAGAGATTAACAGAAATTTAGGAAGATATAGAAGAGCCCTGAATTCCTCCATGCTAGTATAACATAGCAGCTGAGTTGCAAACTCAAATGTCTATAGGCAGTAAGAATGGAAAAGAAAAGGGTGGGTAGAAGGGTGAACTGAATGTAAAAATAGTGACAGCCCTAATATCCTAAGAAATGGCACCTGACACTTGGACTGTAATTTAAGGTGAATTCTCAGGCCCTACCCAGACCTACTGAATAAGAAACTCTGGGCTAGGACCCAGTAATCTGCGATGACTTGGATCGATGGTAACATTGAGAACTA